GTACCAAAAGTCTCGCAACGCAGTTCTTCTTTCGTAAAAAGTGCTATCAAATACCAATACGTAATGCGACCCAACACCTTCATATTTTATTCTTAATGAACCCACATTTTAATTTTAGTTATGTGATTTAGTACAATGGTTGGTAACACCGTCAAATGCGCTCGTAGATTATAAGTTTAATTTTAAATTCATAATTTGTATATCTGAATATAAGTGAATTGTATTCTTTTGAGTAATAAATATACTAAACCAGAAAATGTTTAAAAATCAAATGTCGGTTAAAAACCAAGTCGGTTAATTCAGTACCTATCTATCTATGGGAGCAGGTATCCAACCAATTTGTTATAAATTGTTAGTATGTTAATTAGCTAAAACGTTTTATAGTACCCATACATATTTTTTACTTTACTTAAATATAGTGTTATTTTACTACGAAAATACTTTTTATGAATTTTAAGTTTTTGAACCGAACCGAACTTTTAATACGAGAATTGGCCTTCAGGTTGAAGGATTCAAGCGACAATTTGTTCCGCAGATTAGTTAAGGCAAAAAAATATATTATTTAGTAAATATGCATTTATGTTATTATGATACAGGATCACAAAGAAATACATTAGAATAAATGTGCCTGTAGATCCATTGTCGACTGTAGAGACGGTGCAGGTAGGCAGATCCTGCTTGATTACACCGTCTTTGCTTAATGTATGTATGAATATATGTATATATAACCGTGTGGTGGCAGATTAAGAATACAGAGTGTCACCGTCTCTATTCATCCCGGGGGTGTCGTAAGTGCCAACTAAGGGCGCAAACTACGCATGACAATAGCACTGCAAAAAGAGAAGGAAAACTTGAAGCAAACCCTATACCAACCCGTCTGGCCAGTGTGTTATAGTAGGCCAAAACTTTTCTAACGTTCTCCTTGTCTCTATCTCTATGGCGGTGGACTACTAAAGGCTGTTGATGATAAAGATGATCATATATACCTATTCTACATATCTTACAAGTATTGTATTTATAATAACTGTACTAACCCGACACTTCAAAGATTACTTAGGATAATATCAACCTGTTATTGCTTAAAATAGTAGTGGTTTATATACTCGTAGTATGAAAACCTGATTTTTAAGGAAAATTAAAATCTTGATTGTAATCTAGACGAATTTAACAGTTGAAACGAAAAAAACTTGGGAAAAACGTCGGCCATCTTGTAATTGTTATGTGAAATCCCATGACATTAGATAATTTTGTATGTAAAGGTAGCTGCAGGAGCTTGGCAGGTAAAGGCTTGCTTAGTTGTCACGGGGTCTTCAGTACTAGTCCTGACATACCCTTTTTTTGTGGGAAATCCCCTCGGATAACACCTACCGGTGGACGGAGTGGGGTTATGTCGGACTCGAACCGTCCAAAAACCGCACGCCGTCTCAGGTGTCAGTTGCCGGGGAACCAAGGAAATCCCTGGTACAGTCATGTCATACCCTGTCACAGTCACATTATGATGAAATACAGTGTGGTTTTAGTGATTACATTTGACATAATTCGACCTCTTTGAAACAAAAATAAAATAGTCTTTTGGCAAATTCAACTTTTTTTTTGGGGTAAACAAGTCTGATCATAAGCGCGTTGAAGGTTTTGAAGGTCCCACCTTCAAAACTTTGCTTGAGCTCTTTTCTTTATGACTTGGAGGTCATATCGGTACGGATATACCGAAGGCGGTCATTTGTACCATTGATTGATATTTTTAGATAGTAATTAAATATTATAAAGAAAAGTAATATTTATTTAAATTTAAAATAAATATGCTTTTATGAAAAACGTTTGAAATTAAAGGAAATAGTTTTCATACTTTTAGCGAGTTAACACTTCAACAGTTAACGCGTATATTTGTTTTTGTTTAACTAAAAAAAATGACATAAATGAGGTTTTAAGATTAAAAAGTATAATACAATACCTCCTTTATATACCTATTGAGGGTGGTGTTGTATTTTTTTATTATTAATGCATAAAATCACAAATATTCAGCAATACTTAGTCCTGTTGCGGGTGACAGGGTTAAACCTGCATCGGTAAAGTGGACAGCAAACGCAAATATCCTAACCTAACAGAATTTGCTAAGATTTATTTATCATCTCCCGGAAGAGGCTATTTTCCGGAGCAGATATAATTTATGACGAAAAGCGCAATCGTTTGCTACCAACAAATATTCAAAAAACAGTTTTCATTCATCATAAACGAACACTGGTTGATTTTAAGTATTAATATGATAAGTTATGTGTAAAATAAAAATCTTTGTGAGTAACATTATGCATTTTATTTTCATGGCATCCCTATTAAATTCCCACACTAGACTTATATCTAAATGATTTAGGTACTAGGTAAATAATTTACCTACTTATAGAGGAAAATAATGATTATTTTACCGCAATGTTATTAAATGCATTTGGTTTATATAAACTTAATAATAACCACGCCTGTCATTTATGACTAATATACAAAAGGCACAAAATTTAAATATATTTACACAAATAGCAACTCTTTTTCAAAGGTATAATGTTTAATATGGTAAAAAAAGAAGGTGTAGTATAAAAAAAAAACTGTGACTGAAGTAGACAGCTATTTATTTTTATAGCATTAGACTTACACTTTCGAAGAGGCCAATAATTGTAATAAGAATAAAACCTTATCATATTTTAGTTACAGTCGATTATAGTACAACAGAAATATAAACATTTTGACTGATAGACGACAATTTTTGAAGCAGCTTCTTTTTGCAGTTCTTTTTTTTTTTAATTCTAACTTAGATAAATTTAGGCAGTGTTTTCAAAATTGCCAGTTTACTTTTTTTGCAATTCCGCTCTAAAGTTTACATTAAATAATAAAAGTCCATGGACTTGAAATGTCTTCCGATATCTGCAATAAATGTACGGATGGCTTAGTCGATTGCACGGATGCCTTAGTCGACTGCCCGGATGGCTAAGTGGTCTAAACGGTCACCTCGCCGCTTCCTACTGCGCTGAGTGTTGTGGATTCGATCTCCACATGGGACAACCCTTTGTGTGATCAACAAATTGTTATTCTGAATCTGGGTGTTCTGTGTGTCCGTTTCATGAATGTTTATTCCTAGTGTACATTTACCTTTACATGTAAAACAGTTAAAATGTGTGTATTACCATCGTACTTTTCGTTAAGGTTGAGAAATCACCGCCTAAAACACCACGTGGTTCTCACCACTACTTTACCACCACATTACTTTCGTTTAGGACTCGTTCATTCTAAACTCTCATATCCTGCTCAAATTATACATTCACCGGAAAGTCCAATTGTATTTTTGGCCTCAGTAGAATGTGTTTGGAACTACATATAGTGTTAGTTAAAAAATTGTGACGAACTAATGACTAAAATTAGTAACAAAAATAAAAGTTAAGTCGAGGGAAAACCCGTTAAAATCCTCTCCTAAATAATCTGACCGCCTCTACATTCTGTCAGTTTTTTTTTGTCTTAATAATGTTTTTCGTCGTATATTTTTAATGGGAAACTCATAATTTACTGGGTCCTTACTTTCCTAGCTGAATAGCATCAATTCTAAGCAAAATCTTCTGCGTAAGAATTTAACAATAATTTAAAAATTCTAAAAGTTATTGAATCGAATATCGAAAAATATGTAAATAGTCCATTAAACCCATACAGAAAAGATAATTGTTTACTACCTGACAATGTCAATAGGAAGGAAGAAAAAAAAGTACAGGAAGATTTAATTAAGGACAAAACATGCGCATCTAAAATATATATATAATTGACGACCGGATGGCGTAGTGGTTTGTGTAACGACCTGCTATTCTAAAGGTCACGGGTTCGATTCCCACTCAAGTCAAACATTTAGGTGCATGAACGTTTGATTTGGGCTGGGTGTTTCTATGTAAAATAAGTATGTATTTACAAAAAAGTATTTATGTATTTATGTCAGTTGTTTAGTATCCATAGTACAAGCTCTGCTTAATTTGGGACTAGATGGCGTTGTTTGAATGTAAAAAAAAAAATTGTGATAGGAAATACACCACCCAAAGGTTGACTGGAAGAGAATGCCATGGGAATTAAGTCCGCCGATGTACAAAAGTCCATAAAGTTAAATAAATAAATAAATAACTGTGATATCAATGAAAAACAATGGATGGAACTAAAATCACGTACACATCGACGCAAAGCTTTAAACTTCTTTATTATCGGTGACTAACACTTAATTAAGATCGTATCATCAAAAGTGTTTTAAAAAAACATTGTAAATACTATTTAGTCAATTGACTGAATTGTTAATTTTGTAACAATCAAAGGGCCACCCACCTCCGTTACAAGTTGTGCATACTGTTACTTTGACAAAACTTAAAAACGGTATCACGGTTATATTTGGTCCTTGGGTTAAAATAAAAAGTATACGTACTTTATAAATATAAAATGTACAAAGCATTAATAAGAAACATATTACTTAGATAAAGTTGTTTCCTTTTAATAAGTAAACTACAGAACCTTACCATACGCGTTGCTCAACATGCGCTTGACCAGTTTTTTTTTATTAATATCAATGATTACTATAAATATATCTCCTTTCACTTTTAGTGTTTTAAATTTCGTCCAAGACAACACTACGAAAACAACGGTGAATAAAACTATAAATACTTACTTTAAACTACATAACAGTTTGTTATTACCAAAATGTTTTACTTTCACCAATTTGTTGTTTAAAAATACAATTGTCATTAGTTTTGTAATCTGTTATCGTTGCAAGCGAGTAATAGTTACATTATCACAGATAGTGCATATGTCGTACATAATTATTTATGACGTTTGCTCTTATAAGCAAAAACTAATGAAGATACTGGTAGAGCAAAACTTGACAATATTTAAACATAAAAAGTATACAGATAAATAAAAAATAAATCGTCAAAATAGCAAATATAAAATATCTCCCACGAAGATTAAAAATAAAACAAATAAAAAAAACTTACAGTGAGGCAAAGAGGTAGGCAACGAAATCCAAGACTTGATAGAACACCACAAATACTGACACAAAAAAGAAAAAATAAACAATTCAAATAATATTCCTTAAATTTGGAATTGATTTCGTAAAGGCGTTCGATGAGCAACTGGACGTTTTGCAGACTGATAGCTGCGCTTACTTCGACACAGAACCAATAATTACTCCCAACCGAATTTGAACCCTAAATGCATAGACGCAAGGTTGAATTCCCAAAACAAACACAAGATTGTACTACTGCGTGAAACTGTCCGAGCTGGTATTGAGGTCAGTGACGTCTTTTTTCTGTGATACAAATTCGCGGAACGAGAGAGTATTTGAAATTTGTATAAGAACGAAAGAGAGGTAGCATTTCCTTGTTGTCATAGAGAAATTGGTTAAGCGTGGTCAGTAATTTAATGTTGTCCATTAGATCCTTGTTCATTAATTCAGTCCTTAGCGGCTCCGTAGTTTCTATACCTTATATTAATACGAAAGATAGAAATCATATTTTTAATTTAAAAAAAAACCGGCCAGGTACGAGTCAACTCGTGCGCTGAGGGTTCTGTACCTACCCAGATTTTACGTAGATTTTCGCGAAAATTTGTGAGTACCAAAATTTATCTTAATTTTCAACAAAAAAGAAACGTCTTACAGCACAAATAAAGGAATAATTCCAAAAATAGAAAGTTGAAAATTAAGGTACATTTTGGTAATTACAAGTTTTCGCGAAAATCGAAATTTGCCTATAACTTTTTATCGTGTTGACTCAGGACCTTAATTTTTATACACCTAACAGGGACTATACACTTCAGTATCTGCTATAAATTTCAACTTGCTAGGTCTACCCGTTCCTTAGAAAGTCGGTGGTGACACACGGACAGACGGACAACAAAGTGATCTTATAAGGGTTCCTTTTTTACCTTTTGACGGAGCCGGAACCCTAACGAAGTAACCCTAGCTTCTAATGCCAGGAGTAATAAATTATACTTAAATTAACGACTTGACTACCTTGTAATTAGCAGAAAACTCGTTTCTTTGAAGACTTTTTCTATTGAAAATATTGTAGCCTAGTCTGTATCGTATTGATTGATTAACAATGCTTCAAGATCCTGTGGACAAGCACTTTCTTGAAGTAAAATTGGATGATAAAGAGGTAAATATATTTTATTACATTCAAATAAGAAGGTCTCATCATTTGACTGTAAATTTTTATTTCCTTTTTCATCATCATCATCAACAGCCATTAGTAGTCCACTGCTGGACATAGGCCTCTCCTTAGAAAGGAGGGTTTGGCCTACAATACTTTAATTTAATTTTTATTTCGTTTTTGGTACACAATAATTCTGGTTTTAATAATTCTAGGTTTTTTTTCAAGGTCAGTCATATTTAAATTTAAGTAATATAAGTGTACATAATATATACTGATACGATTTATATATGTAATGCTTCTATGTACGAGACAGTGTCTTTTGCCAATTTAGTTATCCATACTTAATATTAAAAATGCGAGTGTGTCTGTTACCTTTTTACGCTTAAACTGCTAAACCGATTAATATGAAATTTGGTATACAGATAGTTTGAGTCCCGGAAAAGGACATAGGATAGTTTTTACCCCAAAAATCATCCTTTAAGGGGGGAGAAAAGAGGGCTGGAAGTTTGAATGCGGAATCAATAACGGCTGAACCGATGCAGATTAAATTTTGGAATGAAGATAGTTTAATTCTTAAGTAAGGACATAGGTTTCTTTTCACCGTGATGACCGATATACCGCAAAGCCACGGGCAATAGCTAGTGTAAAATAAATCAGGTTATGACGACGTGTATATACTAATATAGATTTAAGTTAAGTAATTCTTTCGCAGCTTTTCCCTGATTATCTCAAATTCTCCCTGATTCTGGGAGACGGGGAGGGAGTTCATAGAGCGGCAATGGACTTGTGACTATTGAGTTACAGGTGTCCATGAACGGTGGTAGTCACTTACCATCAGCCATATGCTCATTTGTTCCTCTATAACATTGTTGGTCTAACGGTTAGTGACTCTGACGGAGGTCGTTGGTCCGAGTCCCACCCAGGACAAATATTGTGTGATGAGCACGGTCATTTGTTCTGTGTCTGGGTGTAATTTATCTAGAATATGTATGTATTTAGAAATATATAAGTATGTTTATCAGCAGTCTGGTTACCATAGTACAGGATCTGCCTAGACTAGGATCAGATTGCCGTGTGTGAGAGGTGTGCAGTTATAAAAAAAAAAACTTGAGAGGTGTCAAGGGACACCCGGATGGAACGAAGTTCCTTTCGATTAATTGGTGAAGGAATTGTAATATTTTTATTTTTTTTAAGTTATAATAATATATTTTTTATTATTAACAAATATAATGTAAAAATAGAGACGAAACGAAAATATCTGGCTTGCTTTCTATAAGAGAGAGAGAGAGACAGACAGAGAAACATGCGGCTTTCTATAAAAGAGAGAGAGACAGACAGAGAAACATGCGCACACCGCACAGCTTACAATAGCTTACTATAGCAAAAAGTGTCGTTACAACTTTTCGTGAGAATTTTTTGCGTCTAGCCCCCCTTCAAATCGCGCGATAAGGAACTTCGTGACAAAACATTAAAAAAAATGGTTCTGTGTACGAGGAAAACAGTGTCCTTAGCCAGTTCACTTATGAAATTAAATGAGAAAATGTCAAAGCTCAATTATTGCAACCGTATAAAGAGTTTTGAATAGACATGGAAATTTCTGCTACTTTTAAATCATAGTCATATGAAAAAAAAAAATTATTAGTACTGCGACTTCACCTGTGATTGTGATTTGGTCGTAGACAAAGATAAATGCCATCAAAATCAATCAAAATACTTTTTATCAAAGATTACGACTTTTGTTTTTGTAAATTAGTCACAGGTCTGATTTTATGATTTATAAAACATATGATTTATCACAGGTGATAGTGTTTGATTCCATCTCTAGTTTTGACCCATTGAGGTTTTTGTCGATCGATCCATGTTAGACTTATATTGTTTGTATAACAGAATCTAGCCAAATCAGGAAACGACTACTTCTTGAGAGAGGTTGGGAAATAATCTGCTATAGTTGCAGAGTTGCAGAACTATTTATCTGGGCCTCAATTCTGCTATTACGCCAAGCCAGTGCATACCACTGACACGCTATTGAGATGCCATCATTTTATTTTCTTTAATAATTTATTTCTTTCTTTTATTTTTTTAATGAGTTATTTTAATTTATTTATTTCTTATAATAATTTATTATAATAAAAACAAATAAATGATTTCCTCAAAAAACGTAATATATTTTCAACTACCGATATTTATACCGATGCCAATGGCTACTCGATGGCATCTCAATAGCGTGTCAGTGGTATGACACTGGCTTGGCGTAAACATAAAATAGCAGAATTGAGGCCCTGATCTTTAATAACTGCACTGTTTTCAGTAGTACTTATACTCATTAGTCAAATAGGCTAGTTCAGGTTTTAGTCATGTGAGTATTTTTGGAATGCTTGTCTAAATTCACCATAACCATATTTTATAACTAGGACAGTAAAATTACCGCCGAAGTCGAAAATATTTTACAAGGCCATCTCTTGTGAACACTTAGAACTAAGATATAAACTTCTATTAGATCACAGTAGATGGCGTATAATACGTATAGAGTTTTTTAATTAATCTTTATCTGTTGGACTATTGGTTGTGGTTGCGGATTAAGGTACCATAATACATCAGGTCCTCCGTGTGTGGTAATCCGTGTGGTGACGGATTAAAAATACGGAATGTCACCACCCCTATTCATCCAGTGGGTGTCGTAAGAGCCGACTAAGGGAACATACTGCATAGGATAACAGCATTTCAAAAAGAAGGAAAACTTGAAACAAACCCTATACCAACCCTAGGCCAAAACCTTCTTTCTAAGAAGAGGCCTATGCTCAGCAGTAGACTATTATAGGCTGTTGATGTGAATATATCAGGTAGGATTTTTTGTTTAGTCGCTAATGCTTGAATTGTGCAAAATTCCATGAATAAATAAATGCACTTTTATTAATAGAAATCTAAGAACTTTATCTGAAGTGTTTAATTGACCACTTTGTACAGAAATGTCACTGGTACACGAAACACAACAATGCCATGAGCCAGCAGTCTTATGGTCTAACAAATAAAGGCACTGTCCTTTAATAATAAAAATAATCTGTTTTTTTTTTAAATTTCAAAAATCTTAGCCTATCAAATTGAGCATGAAAATATTTAGCTTACAAAATTACGTATTACTCTTTTTATACACGTACCAACAAAAACCCAATAATGAAATCAATTTTCAGAATTCTACAGAGTTATTATATCTTAGTCAATTGAAGTAGGTACGTTATGTCATTTTGACATTGTCATTCAGGAAATGGCTTGTTATGTAATAATGATAACAGGGGTTGACACGGCTGATAGTGGGTATAGTCCCACCATATCATAACTTAAAAAGACGGAAATTTGTCATTATTACCATTTTATTTAATTTCTTTTGAGTTTCTTATCTAAGTGCTGTATAGTATAGCTGTACATTATAAATATTGCGTGGAGATAAATATAACTTATTGCAACTTATAATACGGGTTAAATTCAAAGAAAAAGAAACGTATCAAGAAGATGACGTTCCCGAAGTTTTTTTTATATTGTAAAAAGACATTTCCCGCACTAGGAATATATCCTGTGCGCGGGAGACTTTACAAATATACATGATACGGGCCCAAATAACACCCAGACTCAGAACGACAATTTGTGGATCACACAAAGTGTCGTCTCATTTGGGGCCGATACCACAACACTCAGCGTAGTAGAAAGCGGCGTGGCAATCGCTTAAACCGTGCAGTCGACGTGTTCGCCTACGCAATAAACCAACTTTTTAGATTCGCAGTATCCAAAACTCGAATATAGACTAAATGATTGCTATTGAAATAGAAGAAATTGACTGCACTGATGGTATAGTTGGTTAAGCGGTTACCTACTTATGAAGAAGTCAAATGTGTCATTTTTATTATTAACATACAATTCCTAGCGCCAATTAACTTACTGTGAAAAACCTAATTGCACAATATTTAACGTTGTACACAATATGCGGTAAAACGGCGTATAATAAAAAGTCTGGGTATTACGTATCTATCATTTAACAATACTTAAATAAAAAAAAAACATTCTTTGTTTTTTTCTGTTCTTTTGTACTTACGTGTACGTAATTAAATTTTTAATTTCATTTGTCATACGTAGTGTTATGAAATTGTTTTTAAGAAGAAAATTGTTGAAATAAAAAAAACAAAAATCCCGACCACGGGAATTTTTTTTGTTTAAATTTACTGTCAATATTAGTTTTTGGTGTTTTCAAATACCCAGTGTTACTCTCACAATCAGAATGAATCTAATGACACCTTCATCATCATCATCATCATCATCAACAGCCTTTAATAGTCCACTGCTGGACCTCCTCTCCTTATAAAGGAGGTTTAATAAATATGAATAACCACAAAGCCGTTTAGGCCCAAGAACATAACATTTCTTCAGTGGGGTAAAAACTCCAACACCCGACTGGTAAAACTTGCACAACTGTTTGTGCCGTTTTTCCCCTCTACTATTTCAATACCATGATTCAACATGTACGGTTATGACTACACGCTTATGCATGACAGTGGTGCTTATTCTGTTGTTCGAAAACTCTCTAAACTAAACTAAAAAAAAAAAAAAATTGTTTATTCCTGTCCAATAACGTTTCGTATTCCGAAAACATAGTACTTGACAGGACTAAAATATTTTTTAGTGATTTTTAGTTTAGTTTAGAGAGTTTTGTGAGTTTAGTGACGGTGCGCAGGGAAGTCAACGACATATTTTAAATGAGCAACATTTGAGTATACAACAAAAAGTGACCAATAGTTATGAAACCTATGAATAAGTGTTTCTATATGTTTATATAATTATGCAACCATTTGAATAGACATATCATAAAGATTCAATTCAATTCAATAAAGTTCACCGTTTTTACCAGTACCGATGAGGGGTGTGTTCGCAAGATATGTTTTTTTTTTTATATTTTTCTATGTAATAGGGGGCGAACGAGCAAGAGGGTCACTTCGTGGTAAGTGACTACCGGCGCCCATAGTCGTATGCAACTCAAGAGATATTTATTTATTTTCAACTTTATGCACTTGTGTACAACGGACCCAATGCCCAGGGCATTCTCTACCAGACAACCTTTGGGTGGTGTAGAAATCTGGTGAGGAAGGTGCACTGAGATTACAGTTGTAACAGCAGTAATAAAGTTTTAACTAACATACTAACAAATATACACATACATACACACATATACATAAATTTAAATATATAAATATAAACACAGATAAATAGGTACATATACTTTATATTCGTACATTGCATTCCGAAAGTAAAAAAATGTATGTCTGTAAAGTTCCCCGCTACACAGGACATATTCCTAACGCGGGAGCTGTCTTAAAAAAAATATAGACGGCAAATAATTTTAGTTCAGCCAGCTACAAAAGTGTGTTTTTTAGTTTTTAATTTATTTTTCCTTTTTAGTCAGTAATGTTGATTTTATTTATGGTCTTAAGACTAAAAAAGTAACAAGTAAGTTTAACACATGTGACTCAGTCCACGCCCTAGTACGTGGCAAGAGAAACTATCGTATTGTAAGGTATGGAAAACGTCCTTAATCCTGAAGGTTCTGATCAGGATAACTGAACAAACTATTTAAATTCTTGCAGTGTCATCGGTCCTTGATAATTGTGCAAAGTTAGTGGTGCAATTGGACTTGCGCTCAAGAGGTTGTGGGTTCGAATCCTGACCAGTACACTACCGACGTGAACCCACTCCTAACGAGGGGTTAACGGGAATACTAGTAACTTCGGTTGCTAGTAAGCCTTTTAAAAAAAAAATTGACGTTTCAAAGTAGGTCAAAATCTCGATGACTCCGTTACATACAAACATACCACACCAAGCTACTAAAACTTCTTAAAAACTAAGTCGAGTACGTGAGATACACAGATACTTAATAACCCTTAACTTATAACATTTTTTTTATGCGTCTTGGATTAGTCATAGGTAAAGGCAACATTAAATTTCAATAGAAATGTAATGTTAATGCAAACTGTTAGATTATTACTTAATTTTATACGAGTTTATGCTGATTATTACTTAATTTTATACGAGTTTATGCTGATTATTATTTAATTTTATACGAGTATATTTTATAAGCGTATTATTTAGTAATAAGCTAGCAATCTTATTGAGTTATGTGACGGATATCGCACAAAAACGTAAACTAGATATATACAAATATTTATCTTTGTTCGTTCTATAATCTTGTAGGGCAGTTCCACACGTATGTGTTTCGATTTGGGCTCATCATTTTTTTTTGTTATGGTATAAGGGGACAAACGAGCAGACGGGTCACCAGATGGTAAGCAACTACCGCCGCCCATGGACACCTGTAACTCAAAAGTCACAGGTGCGTTGCTGCCCTTGGAGTCCCCCGTTCGATTTTTTTTTTAAATTTCATACTTTAATTTTCATATATACAGGGTAGGATAGACATAAACTGTAGACAGAGGTTTTTTTTATGAACGAGGGCGCAGACGACAGATGGGTCAACTGATCTAAAGTGACCATCGCCGCCCATGAACGACTGCAACTCGGGAGTCACAAACGCGTTGCCGGCCTTTTAGTAAGAAGTACGCTCTTTTCTTGAAGGTTTGAAGATTGTATCGGTCCGGAAATACCGCAGACGATAACCTGATCCAATGATTCAATGATTGGTTGTTCGAGACATAAAATGTCTCGAAAAGTGCACAGTGATGGGAATGAAAAGTTTGCCGTGTAGAGCGATGGTGGAAAGTTGCGGGTTAGTCCGCACAATTCCTCGGAGCACTCCATGATATATGCAATAGAGAATGTAGAGTGTAGCCACATCACTACTTAACGCCAAGAAATCGAGCCGATCGGAGATCGTTGGGCTATCGACAATTCGATTCGCCCTTCTTTGGATGCGGTCCCGAGGGAGAAGCTGGTACTGAGGTACCCCTGCATAGAGATGAGAAAAGTATTCCGTATGCGGCCGGACTTTCGCCTTATAGAGCTGAAGGCGGTGGGTCGGAGTGAAATACTGCCTCGATCTGTTCAACATACCTAGCTTCTTCGAGGCCAATTTGACCTTACCTTCTAAGTGGCCCCGAAACTGGACTTTCGAGTAGTATCGGATCGGAATCCTAGGACCTAGGATTACGATACTGGCAGAGACAGTTTGGGGAATGCTCTCAAGGATGTATATTAAAACGATCACGTTCTGCCAACTATAATTTACGTCCCATTTCCTCCCATTTATGTAATAACTGCTGTTCTTTTTATGTGTCCAACAGCACGGACGGTGTAGTGGTTTATGTGGTCGCCACGCCGCGTCCTACTGCAACGAGTGTTGAGAGTTCGATCCTGGGATAACACTGTGTGTGACAGACAACACCCGTTTACACCTGCAACTCAAGAGTGACAAAGGCGTTGCCATTCGACCTTCCGCCTTTATCGTGAATATCAATGACGTTTTATTTCGTCCACAAGTGTGTACTGTACTTAAATATATTACTGATAAGATTCTTATGAATGATACGAAAGAAACCACTTACGGTATATAATCTGCTTACAATCAGTGGTCCTCACTCTACAACAAATACAGAGTACAATCTGACATGTTGTTCAATTTATTTAAAAAGTTTTAGTGTATTTTCGAAAGTATTTCTAAGAGAGTGTCATCGACGTTTAACACTGAATTTTGGGATTAAATTGACGAGGATCTATCTTTGAATAATGCATAATCCAGGAGGAGAAACGTTACATAGGAAAAATATTCTTCGTAAGTACAACTGAAGCTGTATTTAAGTAGTATTCGTGTGCTAGTGACGTCTGTATCTATTCTTCCCGTGGGTATCGTGAGAGCCTACTAAGGGAGCAAAATCTGCAGGACAACAGCACTGCAGGGAGAAGGAAAACTTGAAACAAAGCTTATACCGTCTGGCCAGCGTGGCAGTGTAGGCCAAAACCTCCTTTCTAAGGAGAGGCATATGTGCAGCAGTGGTCTATTAAAGGTTGTTGATGAAGGTGATGATAATGTTTGATTGTAGTCGAAAGCTTTAGGTCAAATACACATGACCAGTTGGAGTGAGAGTGTCTTCAGGGGAAGCTTCCTTTAGCTTTGTTAATCTTGATGGTTTTTCCTTCACATTTGATCTTAAAACATACATAGATTCTCATACTTACGCCTATAGCGGTGTATTTAATACACCGACGTTCGTTCGTTCACATTTTTCTGTGTTTCACTTTGTTGTTGTTTAGTGTTAAGTGACCTTGACTGCGAAGCCGAACGTCGTGGGTTCGATTCCCATCCAGGACAAATAATTGTGTAATGAGCACGATCATTTGTTTTATGTCTGGGTGTAATTTATCTTTAGTATATATTTAGAAATATTTAAGTATGTTTATCAGCGGTCTGGTTTTCCATAGCACAGGCGCTGCCAAGTTTTGGGATCAGACTGCCGGGAGTAAGATGTGTGGAGTTGTACTTTTTATTATTATATTACTTACGTAACGGGAGGCAAGCATTTTGTCGACATTTTTTGCACTTTAGGGGTTAGATCGGAAAATGGAGAGAAATAGATATAAGAAGGCAATAAAAATAAGAAGGAAAAGTAATGGCAGAAAAGGGATATTTCTTAGATGGATCAGGATATCTGTAACTCCAGTTGGCTAAAGACTTAAAGGCTAAAACTTTATAACCTCACTTGGTCTTAAAACTACAGAAGACTGTAGCGTAGACTGTAAGTTGCAGTAGCAGGGGTGTAGATTAAAGTGTTGTGGGATTGTATATATTTTATTAAATTTATATAGGTTTATGTATGTGTGAGTATTTATATATTGTCTATGTCTCTGGACCTAAATTATGTTAAATTTAATATTTTATTTTGCACCTACCGCATCATATTTCTACATCACCTGAAGGTTGACTGGTAGAGAATGCCTAATGGAATTAAATTCGCCTTTCTACAACAGTAAGTGCATTAAGTTTAAAATAAATTAATAAATATATATAGCCATGTACTGAACAAGGTAATCAAAAGTTTTAAATTAGAGGCAAAATATTAAACATCTATATTTTAAGTCATTTTTGCATGGGAGGTCGTCTTTGACAGGTATAGTCAATATAAGAAGGACAGATTAATGTAAGGGCAAAAGAGCAAGATAAATAATATATATAGATAGCATACTAAAGAACGATCTCTGCCAGAATTAGAGTTTGGATTAAAGTAGACGTGTTCCATTACACCCTTTGATTATGTTGACCAGGGATGATTATATCGGACTCGAACCGACCAAAAACTGCACACCGTCTCGGTTACCAGTTGCCGGGGAACCAGGTGTACCCTAGAAAGGAAATCCCTGGTACTCCCACGTACCTCGGGCCATCTACGGCATGTAGATGACCCCCTTCTGTATGGGAAATCCTAAGTGCCCTAGCTTTCGAAAAAATATATTTTGATATTACACTATTTTGAGGTAGTGAGGAAGAACTTTTTGGTGTATAATGTATGTTACCATAGTTTTAAACAAATGTAGGTCAAATGAGGTAACAAGCCATGTTTTCAGATCCGTGAACGATGAATCACGATAAAAAAAACAAGTGTCATAGACAAAGTAGAGTTATCTGATTGAACCATTATGAATATAATGAATGCGTGTTATAAAATTAAGATTTTACTAGGGTACTAAGGTACCCATTAGTAGACAGACAATAGAACCCTAAATGAATAGTAAGAACCGTGCGAAATATATTTCGTCGCGCCTTCGAAGGTTCTGACGTGATCGTGTAAGAACTGCCATTGACTAACTAAACCGACTCTTGACTAAATATAATTATTACACAACATTTTTCAAAAAACTTTGTTGAGCTGTATTCCTATTTATTAAAGACTATTTTTTAAGAATGGTCACCCATCCATAGACTGACTTGGCTAGGATTGCTTAACTTGGCAATGTGTTAACCTACTCGGTTACCACTTAACCACGAGCTCCTGTTTACTTCGAGGATATTCGTTCAAAGAGCGCCAACATTCTTACTTATGCCTTTTAAATTTCAAGTGTCCATGGGTGGTGGTGGTTACTTACCGTCACGTGAACTGTATGCTCGATTGCCCCTATACCATAAAAATGCTTTCGTTGTCACGATATTCACTTAGTATTTCCTGTCCTTAACATCATCATCATCAGCCGATCCACTGCTGGACATAGGCCATTGCACGCCACTTAGATCGATTTTCGGCTTCTCGCATCCAGCCCCTGCCAGCCATCTTGCGCAGATCGTCACTCCACCTGGCTTGTCCTATGTATGTCCAGTATTGCCTGTCCTTATATTATTAGTCATTCCGTAAGTGTAAGCACTTATCATCAATCATCAATCATCATCAACAGCCTTTAATAGTCCACTGCTGGACATAGGCCTCTCCTTAGAAAGGAGGTTTTGGCCTACTATACCACGCTGGCCAGACGGGTTGGTATAGGATTTGTGTCAAGTTTTCCTTCTCTCTGCAGTGCTGTTGTTCTGCGTAGTTTTTTCCCTTAGTCGGCTCTTACGACACCCACGGGATGAATAGGGGTGGTGACACTCTGTATTCTTAGGCATTATAAGGCATTATAAGCACTTATAATGCCTTCTAATATGGATCCACTTCATTGCCAGTTGACTATCTGTTATTATATACGGGGATTCCCTTTATGATGTAAAAGATAAAAGTTTAGTCAGCAGTGATTGTCAGAGAGCTCGGAATTCCCTGCAACAAAGGTATCACTCACAATTCATTGGTATGAGCATGCTCCATTGTCTTTCCTTCTTATCTACCTTTACTGTTCTCTATATATTTCTAATTTTTCCGATTTTAAAAAGGGATGGCTTTTAATAAGTTCTTGCATAGCAATACGCTTGTCCCGGTTTCGAAATTTAAAATTTCCCCTCACTTTCACTGGCCTGCTGATCTAGTGATTAGTGATTTTAACTGCTGAGCCATAGGGTTTAATGGGGGTAATGTCTTTATATGTGTCGCTATGTATCACCATTAAATTATTATTATTATAATTTAATTATTATACTATACAAAAATCAAACGTTTCTCGAAACATTACTGCTAGCTGTTAAGCTAGTCATCCTACGAAATGCTATAAATATGAAACATATGAACTCTCCATCTCATTACTTCTTTCTTTTTCAGAACTACAAGCGAACGTGTTCCAAGAAGCCACGCAGTTACAAGACCCTTTGCCACCTCCACAGCTCCCGTCTCCCGTTACAAAGGATCCAGTGCCTCAGCCTTTAAGTATAGGAAGATTGAATAATATACAGACCACTGAAAGAAAAAACGGCAATCATTTGATCAGAAAATCTGCGGAAGCTTTAGAATAAACTTCAAACAAAAAATGTTATTGTGCACAAACTGGAAGCTTTAAAACACTCCTTAATTATCGGACGTGATTTAAAGAAAAAAAAATCAGTTTTGGCTGACAACCTACATATTTTCGGCAAGAGGCTTGGCCAGGAGGAGAGTTATTACACTTCCAAAGTCAGTAAAAAGGCCTAAAATACTATAAATAATAAACTCTTAACAAAATATTATCGAATACAATGAGGCTGCATTATTAGGAATTGTAATAAAGTATTTTCTCCAATCCTCAATTTTCCACCTCTTGGGGTAGTATTTTCCTTCAAATTGTATGAGACCAAATAGGAAATATACCCTCCCAACTAAAAAAGTGTTTTTAAAATCGGTTTATAAATGAAGGAGGTCTGAGATAACAAACATAAAACACATACAAGCAAATTTAGAACCTCTTCGTTTGTGAGGTCTGTAAAAAAAAATAACTACGAAGTTGTAACGAAATTCAATAAATATAAAATGAAAACTGGAACGGGCTGAGATCATACTAATTAAGTAATTTAAGAGTAATGTGCAGAAAAGTTCTGGAGTGGCGACCACGTAACGGAAGACGGAGAATGGGTAGGCTCCCTACAAGTTTGTCTGACGACCCAGTGAAGGTCGCAGGAAGCTATTGGATGCGGGCAGTAGAGAACCTTGGGAAATCTCCCTAATGATGATACAGTAATAAACATTAAATGAATGGTATTATAAAATGGCGATTGAAGACTTTCTAGAAGAGAACATTTAAATAACGACATTTTAACAGACAAAGATTACACATGATGTAGAAAAATCAATGTACATATGTCTAGTTATGTTTCTTTCATGCAGGTTCCCAAGGATACAGAGAAAATTATTGGGCTTCTTCTTTCATCCAGTAATAAAGAACTTGTACGGTTTACTAAATAAATGTGTTAAAAGAATTGCTAAAATATGGCTTTATTACTAATCTACCCCATTCATCAATCATCATCGTCAACAGCCTTTACTAGTCCACTGCTGGACATAGGCCTCTCCTTAGAAAGGAGGTTTCCGCCTACTATACCACGCTGGCCAGACGGGTTGGTATAGGGTTTATTTCAACTTCTCTTTGCAGTTCTGTTGTCTGTCAGTTTACTGCCTTAGTCGGCTCTTACGACACCCACGGGATGAATAGGGGTAGTGACTACCACACGGACGTCTACCCCATTACCTACACAATACTTTATATTATTTGTGTTGTTCATATTTATTTTCAGACCGTCCTTTTGGAAACAACTACGGTGATCTCTGAACCATGGCTAAACTTGTCAGGAACTTTTGTAATATCGATGATAAACTGAATGTCAATGTCAAATTTGTGATGAATATTAATGAAAAAGACACAGTTTTCAGTCAGTACAGGAGCTTGGAGGCGGTTCTAGGGCACTGAGAGATAAGTTAAGACCTAAATTTTTCTCCTTTTGAAGATTATTATAACAAGTCTGTCATTCATCATCATCATCATCAGCCCATTGCATTCCACTGCTGGACATAGGCCTCTGACATTGCACGCTACTTAGATCCACATTTTCGGCTTGATGAATCGCCACCCTCCTGCCCAGCGTGGCGATCAAGGGCCACAAACCCCCCTATGCAGACGAAACAAAGCATGTCATTGTTACTCTTTTTTAAACAAACTATCTGAAGAAAGAATATTTTTTTTCTATATAAAACTAAGGCATAGGTTGTTCAAAATAGGTGGTTTGTGTCTTGTATTTAACATATTCATTTCATTTATAAAAGACAACTCCCGCACTAGGAATAAATCCTGTGTCGCGTGGGACTTTACAAACATACATGAAACTGACACAGAGAACACACAGACTCAGAACAAAAATTTGTGAATGACACAAAGTGTTGTTCCAGTAGGAAGCGGGCAAGGTGACCGCTTAAACCACTACGCCATCCGTGTAGTCTAGATATTCTGTTACACTACAATTATTTTTTCACGAAGATTAAAAAAAAAAAAAAATATATATTTTTTTAATCTTCTTTGAACTTTGATGTGGTACAACAAACGAACAGACTGTCACCTGATGTTATTCGACTACCACCACTAATGGAGACCTGCAACTCAATCAATAGATAAGAATGCGTTACGACCCTTTGTGTGCTTGGGGCGGGGGGCACAAACTTAGATTTTGGACCAGTAAAATCTAATAGGCTATATGACTGATCTATAGTACACAGTCTTTTGTTCCTCGAATCCATTAAGGCATACATTTGAAACGCCTTTTAATAAATTTAGTAGGTCATGACTTTCTAGAAGAGAACATTTAAATAACCACATTTTAACAGACAAAGATTACACATGATGTATAAAAATCAATGTACATATGTCTAGTTCTGTTTCTTTCATGCAGGTTCCCAAGAATACAGAGAAAATTATAGGGCTTCTTCTTTCATCCAGAAATAAAAAACTTGTACGGTTTACTAAATAAATGTGTTAAAAGAATTGCTTAAATATCGCTTTATTGGGTACGTAATTATATTTTTGTAACCAAGCTTTGAAACTCATTGGGTACATAATTATATTTTTGTAACCATGCCAAGTTAAGAATCTGACTACGAAACCCATTACTTACGATTTAACATGTTTGGACGACAATAGCACTGCCATGGTACTATGTTGTTGTTCCACATCTTTATGACATTCAGCAATGATCATTAGATCATTGCTGAATACTCTTACTCTTTAGACCTGAGATTACTCAGGTCTAAAGAGTCAGGTAGCTGACCGAAGTCAGGTTTAAGATGTTACATGTATTGTCATTGTTAAATGATGGTGTATCCTGCCTTAAGAAAAAATTTTGTCATTGAAAGTCTTTCAATTCGTTGAAAAAAAAAATAATTTATTACATTTAAAAAAAAAATTCACCGATGGGTAGCTACATTATCAGCGAGTAACATAGGCAAAAGCCTATACCCCGCGTGTGTGTCGATATTTCTACCGCGATAATCGACACAAACGCGGGCGGAACCGCGGGCAAAAGCTAGTAATTTCTATTTATTAGACGAGCCTGTTGGTCTAGTGGTTAGTGACTCTGGCTGCTCTAGCTGCTAAACCGGGGATCGTGGGTTCGATTCCTGAATAGGGCAAATATTTTGTGATGAGCACGGTCATTTGTTCTGTGTCTGGGTGTAATTTATCTATAATATGTATGTATTTAAAAATATATAAGTCTGTTTATCAGTAGTTTGGTTACCATAGCACAGGCTCTGCATAGTTTGGGATCAGACGGCCGTGTGTAAGATGTGTAAGGTAAAAAAAAATTAACAAATATTTTTTTGATGAAATTTTAGTACTGAACAAAAAAATGTTTAAAACTAAAATATGGGCTACGAAATTATGTGAAAACTATTCCATCCAGTTACACATGCCCAGTATTAACATCCACTTGATATAAAACGAAAGTCTACTCAATCACAGTTCAAATTATAAATATACAAATATACAGTTCAAGTTTTAATAAAAAAAAAAAACATATTGCTATGAGAAGAGAGTAGTGCCTAAAATCGACACAGATAGCTCCGATAACAAGTAACTCCCAAAACTGGGCAGGCGTTTTCTAAATACCTATATTCGTAAGTAATTAATAAATAAATTAATAGTTAAGAATGTGAATTCTGCTATCAAAATCGACGGTATCTGATGATATGTATTGCTTCACTATCAAATACCTTTCATAGTAGTTGATAAGGCAATGGTTTAAATACAATCAAGTATTAAACAAGAATTTCTTTGATGGTTTGTTTGGAATTCAAGGTATGTCCTGTTACGCTGACTCATATTTTGGGTATGAATCATATAATATTTACAAGGGACGTAACACCCGTTCCTTCACATTTTTATTTCATATTTTTAGTTTACATACATACAGGGCAGGGTAGACATAAACGGCTATTTTTTATGTTAGAGGTGGCAGACGAGCAGACGGGTCACCTGATGGAAAGTAACCACCGCCGTCCATGAACGTCTGCAACTCAGGAGTCACAAACGCATTGCCGGCCTTTTAGAAAGGAGTACGCTCTTTTCTTGAAGGTTTGAAGGTCGTATCGGTCCGGAAATACCGCAGACGACATATATTGTCCCCGTAGTTGGATAATTAAATAAATCCGGTTTTGGCGATATTGACTTTTCCCTATTTTCAAAACACACAGCATTTTCGTATCTTATTCCATTCCAAAAATATAGCCATTTTTGTCGGACAGATGGAATAATAAATATCTTCAGACTAACACTAATTTTTTGAAGGAAAAATAAATAACTCAGTAAATAAATCAATAACTGTGGTCAATGATAAGTTAAATGGCAAATAAATTAAATAACATACCTATTTTAAGTTTTTCATAGTTTTACTTACTACTTAAGTATGTCTTTTGTAATTAGGTCTCTGATTTTAGAGCCATATTGTTATTTTTTTGGTTTAAATTATTTTCTGTTTTGATTTGAAAGAATGCTTTAATTTAATTTGTTTCCACTTGTTATAATTGCTATAATTTTGTTTATTTTTTTAAGTTTGTGGCAAGATAAATATCTGTTAACAATACCCTTTTTTAAAATTTTATTGTACTTTTATACTTCTTCCAAAATATAACTTTATTAATATCATAATACAGCTTTTATTTTATATGAGACCAATAATAGTTAAAAATATCAAAATAATGTAAAATACAAAGCTAGTGGCTTTGTATTTTACATTATTTTTACATTTTACATTAGTTTTACATTTAAAAATATTTCGAGTTTGATAAATTCAATAACTGCATTTATTTCACCAAATTTTACTCTACCAAATGAATTTAGCTTGTAGGAAAACTAAATAAATAGCCGAAATAAGTAGCTAATTGTAGTTACGTTATAAATAATAGTTGTGGCAAAATTAAACAACTTGATTTTTAATGTTTTCTTTTGTTATAGTTAAAGATAGAGTTCAGTTTGTTAAAGCATAATATAAAAGGTAATCAAGTCCACAAAATATAAAACTACCGACGCTAAAATTGTCTCACATTTTTTAACAAATGTACATTAACTGAAAAAAACCCACTGAATCGCGTTTATCTCAGAACTACAAAATCATAGTTATTTAATTTTCTAACTACGGGGACGATATTAGGTCCTACATATGAAATCTAATCTTACAAATAACTTAGTGGTTGTTTGTTGTGCAGTGTGTGGTCTTGCGTTGTCGTGAAGCAGCAGTGGCCTAGAGCAATTGACCAATCTCGGTTGTTTAGCAGCTAGTTCTTCCTTCATGGTTTGCAGTTGCTGACAATAGATATCTGCCGTAATCGTTTGGCCAGATTTTAGAAAGCTGTAGTGAACGACTCCGGCGCTAGTCCACCAAACACTCACAAGTAACTTTTTCAGAGTTAATTTTCGTTTAGGGCAGAATTTGGGTGATTTATTGAAGAACATCGAGTATGCCTTTGTATTTGTAAAATAAAAGATTGGAAGTTAGTATGATATAAAAAATTATGAAACGGGTTTTCATTAAGGGTTGCTATCCTAAATGTGGAAGATTCGAAATGTCTAAATATCTGCACGTGTAAATGTATAACTAAAGGATATTAAATTAAATAAAATGTTTAAACCATGAACAATTCTTCGTATGATGGCCGGTAGCGATTCTCTACGGTGGTGTGGAAAAGAATGAAAAGTTGCACTACACTTTGAACCAACTCTACATTGGAAAGTTGTTGTTATTGTCGATTCAAGACCTGTAGTGACTTCGTTGGTCGGAGGGCCAGTGCTGGATAGTACTTTTACTCTACTAAGATGTTACATTGACAAAAATATTCTATCTAAAGATTTTTTTTTTCGCTAAGAAGCTTTAAGGACATAATGTTTAAATCAATTATTTTATTTAAAAAAATACTATTGTGTACGATTATTTTTACAATGCTTATAATATAATATTGATATTAAAAGTGACAGATCTTTAGCTGTCTTTTTTTGTATAACCAGGACCAAAATTAATCATTCTTGATTCAATTCCAAATAGTATCTATGTTGTTTGAACCTGCATAATTATTACAGTAACTTTAAAGCAACAAACCTTGAAAATAAAATGATGATACACACTAAAAGCATCGTTATAAGTATTTAGATTAAGAATCAAAATCGGCAAACTGTTTTAATTTTACTAAAAACAATAGTTAGCTTTAGATACTTAGATTTAACTTGCGAAAATATTTTATTAGGTTGCTACATATAAACAACTTAAGTTATCCCAATTTAAGGTTGAAATATTTTTAGTTATTGGTCTAAACGAGATTGCACAATTCAGAATGATTCAGACCAATAGCTAAAACTATTTACTAAGAACAAACTCGTAAACTTCGGTATTTGCAACACATGTTTTGGAGTTTAGCTTAGCACCGTCTGCTTGAGGAGTTATCATGTTAGTATACCCTGTTATTCTCTATCCGTTTTTATGGTTACAGTGAATTTAAGAAAGATATTTCCTTCTACTGGTTAATAATTATTATCATAATTGAAGAATCCCAACACAGGCATATCCAGAACTGAATTTGGAAGTGTTATCTTCTTGTCAGTCATTTTTGTCGGTTTATTTCCGATGGCCTTCTTATTTTTGCTTGGTTTTCTTAAATACTTCAGCTGAACCTGAACATCTTCCACATTTGGCGTCATAGGCTGTGGAGGTGGCAAAGGGTCCAGCAAGCGCTTAGCTTCCTGAAACACCTTCGCTTTGAGTCTTAAACCTGAAAAAAAAAACAAAAAAAACTGCGTTTAACAATAAAAAAAGTAATTATCATAGTGTTATCTTTATTACATAAAAACGAATTGTTTTTCTATTTTCGCTAAACTTTCGTTACTCAACTACGTCTCGATTCAAATCGATTCGATTGATTTGGCTGATTTTAATCTTGAAATATTTGAGAAAATTCAAGGAAAGTTTAATCAGCGAGAAAATATCGTAAAAAGTGACGAACATAGTGAAAACAACAGCCTTATTTTCCCATACCAATTGTTCCTGCCTGTCAAACTTTTCATCCTGTTTTGGTCCGATACACTCTATCAAATTAAAGAACATTTTATATAAAACTTTCTAATATACAACATAATATATCCACAATATTCAGATTATCGCGTATTTAGATTACAAAAACGTAAAACTTTGTCACTATGAAACAGGATCGACAAATTTGTTGGTTGAAAAATAGGTGATACAAATAAAAACAGAAATATTACTATCGTAAATATGTAGGTGCATGTTGTGTATATGCATTTTTACTGAAATAAAATAAATATGAGTAGGTATTCAAAAATTAGACGCCATTTTTATCATTGTCACAGTGCGATACGGCTGTCATGTATGAAATACATTGCTGTACACGTACTCTTTGAAATATTTCTGGTATTCAATAAATAGGTATATTTATTATTAACAGTATAAAAACGCAAGTTGTTAAACAATGTTTAGGAACTATGCGTATTGTTATACTACATGTAGGGAAACCAAATAACTGCATAATAATACGCAAATGACCAAATAAGTTACTATTTTACCTTATTATTTTATAATACAATAAGGAAAACCAGAAAACATGCTACTCACATTATTAGTACTAATATAATAACAACAAACATATAAACAACAAATAAAGATTTCACCGTGGGATGTTTCGGCCCATAACAATATGCGCTGGCTCGACTGGAGCCACGGACTCACAGAAATTGTCAGGCAATACTTTCGTTGATTTTCAAAGAGTAAGTGAGGTTAACGGTTCCCAACAAGGTTTCTGACTGTTTCTGAGAGGACGGGGCATTTATAGGATGACAACGCATTTGCCTCTTTAGTTGCTTGTGTCGATAGGCTGCCGCTTTGCCCGTAGAAGATAAGAAAAAAATTGTTTCATTGTCTAAACTTAAACTTTTTTTCGAATGCGAATTCAAATTTGGCAGGTGAAACACCAAAATGATCTGCCTTTAGGAGTTGAAAATACAATGAAAATATGCCTTGAAATAGGTACAAACCTAAAAACTTTCTCTTGCGTGCAATCCGTCCACTATCGCACATGGTCGTCAATTTCCTTCTCACGCTCAGGTTCTCAGTTTATCACAACACTTCTTAGTTCTCTTTTCTCTTTATTGTTTCTCTTTTATATTTATAAATATAACACGTCAATCCGTTCTCTATTCCTTTTGCGTATGAGTAATTTGTTATTGCGCGTCCTATCAAAAGCGTTCAGTAGTGGTGTCAAGGTCTCTGTATCGAACGAGAACTCTTGCCAATATTTGCTATCAGGATTATAATAAATTAAAGTATATACTTATTTATAATAACTTATATATAAAATACTGTTAATGTTTATTACGAAGAAGCATTTGTTAGCGTAAAGTTATGATTATAGCTCAGAAATAATATTTTTTTTCTGGATAAAAGCTGATGGCTATCATAATAATAGGCATTAATCACATCAACAGCCTTTAATAGTCCACTGCTGGACATAAGCCTCTCCTTAGAAAGGAGGTTTTGGCCTACTATACCACGCTGGCCAGACGGGTTGGTATAGGTTTTGTGTCAAGTTTTCCTTCTTTTTGCAGTGCTGGTGTCCTGCGTTATTTTGCGCCCTTAGTCGGCTCTTACGACACCCACGGGTTGAATTGGGGTAGTGACATTCCGTATTCTTAATCCGTCACTACACGGACAATAGGCGTTAATAATTTGTTGGAATGGGATTAAGTACTTATTTTTGCCCGCGGTTTGCCCCCTACTTTAATATAGATATCATCATCCAGCGAGTTAAAACAAACAATGGAATCGAAGATATACAGAGAGAAAGCTGTGTAATAGGAGTATTTAAGCGAATATCGCTTTTGAGTACTACTTGAGATGGGTGGAAGTTAGGTGATTTATAAAGCTTATAAATACATACACTCACGTATTTTATCCCTGTTTACCATAAACAGGGATGTATTAAACGTCCATATTTTGCATAATCATAAATGTGTGCATCAATACCTTTTGATTTAAAAGATAAGAAGCAAATCGATTAGATAATACAGCCCAACGAACTCAAAATAGATTTTTTTAAACACCTACATAGATAAGTACAGTCTAGAAGCTTTGAGTGGAACGAACGATTCGAACTTGGGCCATAAGACTGCCATGTCAGTTTTTGGAACGAACACTCTGAGCGAATTGGAGCGTAACCATAAAATGTATAACAAGACTTTTTTCCGACACGTCGCTCCATCCGGCGAGTCGACGCTTACATCTTTTTCATATTTCATTTATAAATAGCAAACGTCTACCAAAAAGCGAAAGGAACTTCGTGCCGACCGGGGTTTCATAGACTCCTCACGCCATTTTTTTATAGTATCTGGCATGGTTAGTGAATACTGGCACCGACGTCTGTGACTCAAGTATTACAAGAGCGTTGCCACCTTTTGAGTTACTCTCTCCAGAATTAGTGGGTTAGGTTCCGGCACCTCCCTACCTGCGGGAAATCATCGGGGTTTATCTCTGTGACAGGTCCATATCGTATATGGGTCGGGACGGTGAAGATTGTCGAAGGAAGGTCACGTGCGGGGTTCCCCAGGGGTCGGTCCTAGGACCTCTTCTGTGGAACCTCGCGTATGATGCCGTCCTGAGGACCAGCCTTCCCCCAGAATTAAGTGTCGTCTGCTACGCGGACGACACTTAATCCTGGACCTGAAATAACATGGTCCGGGTCCTCCCCAGAGTAGGCCTGTTGTTGCTGTCTGTTGTTGTTGTTGCCTGAGTTGCCTGCCAAATTGTTTCTTAGTTTGGTAGTTCGATAAATGTGTTGTTTTGTAAAATAAATTAAGTTTATTATATTACCTCCGTGTGGTGACAGATTAAGAATACAGAGTGTCGCCACCACTATTCATCCCGTTGGTGTCGTAAGAGCCGATTAAGGGAGCAAACTATGCAGACAACAGCACTGCAGAGAGAAGGAAAACTTGACACAAACCCCATACCAACCCGTCTGGCGAGCGTGGTATAGTAGGCCAAAACCTCCTTTCTAAAGAGCGGAGTCTATGTCCAGCAGTGGACTATTAAAGGCTGTTAATGATGATGATGATATAACTTAGGTGCAATCTTACTGTATCGCTGTTGAGCAAATTAGCTTTGAACCCTTGAGATTGGACATTTGTCTTTTCTTTTACCCAAAGTTTGGAGAAGGGAAACAGTATGCTTCTGATATTTGCAAATACATTGATAGACAAATAAATGTCTTTCGAAAGTATAAAGAAAAGGATGTTGAGTGATAGTGGGATATTACTTTTAATGATTTGACTTACTTGTAATCAGTACCTTGATCAGGTCATGGACACATAGCTGTATTTCAAACTAGCTGTTGTTAAAAAGTTCGAGACCCCTAATGGTACTTTGTCTGCAGTGCAGTACTTTGCCACGTCAAGTGTTGGAGGTTCGAATCACCACAAGTCCCATGTCCGTTGTTTGAATGTTTGTTAAGTCCAGAGTGACTTAGGATTATATATTTTTTTCTTCTAAAAGACACCTCCCTCACTAGGAATATAAACTGTATTGTAGGGAACTTTACAAACATACATAAAACGGACATCAAGAACACCTAGACTCAGAACAACAACAGAACACACTCAGCGCAGTACGAAGCGCGAGGTGACCTCTCAAACCACTACGCCATCCGTGCAGTCACCAATATTTTTTTATATGTTAGAGGGGGCAGACGAGCAGACGGGTCACCTGATGGAAAGTGACTATCGCCGCCCATGAACGTCTGCAACTTAGGAGTCACAAACGCGCTGCCGGCCTAAACCTTTTGCGGGAGTTCTATTTGATTAAAAAATCAAAATAAACTAAATGTAAACTAAGTGTATGAATACGTGGCCAAAAACACGTACGTAATTTTTCCCACGTACGTGATATGTGGAAAAAACTCGGTACGTGATACGTGGAACTTTTTGCATTCAGTTATTTTATTGCATCATATTTACCAAAATTACTACTTTTAATGTGTAGATTAAAAAATACATTAAAATTCCATATTGGGTAATCTAAAAATGCGTAACGTGAATCTTATCGTAACATTTAGTTCAATATCAAATTAGTAATATAGAAAATAGCAGTGTTTAAAAATATATTAACGCTGGCATTAATAAGTTAAGGCATTAGACTTGCGATCAAGAGGTCGTGGGTTCAAATCCTGACCAGTTCACTACTGACGTGAATCCACTCCTAACACAACCAATTTAGCTTAGCAGGAGGGGTAACAGGAATACTAGTAATTTCGGTTGCTAGTAGACCTTAAAAAACCGATAAAAATCACATTCTAGTAGCAAAATCAAAACCACGTCTTGGCAGCATACTTACTCTATGAAACGGATGGTCAGTTGCTTAAAAAATAAGAAAAGCTGTTCTCTTTTTCTGTCTACTCCTTGAAACTGAAACTATGTCAACTCTATTGCTCAACGCAATAGAGTTGACATAGTTTCAGTTTGCCAACTCTGATACAATTAATCAGGTAGTTTTCAAATTAAAGATAAGAAATTTCTGACCCGCTTAAATAGAAAGATTATATTGATGTCTTCAATTGATTTTGATAGGTAATTAAATAACGAGTTGATATTACCATTTTTTAACACGCTTTTATTAGCTTTACCTGTATGTATGTATGTAATAAGCGTGGAATCCTTTTAAGATATTTTTTAACATAATAACTTTCCTTTTACCAATAAACTGTAATTAAAATACAACAATTGACATCTCCGTCCGTCCGTGTGGTGACGGATTAAGAATACCGAGTGTCACCATCCCTATTCATCCCGTGGGTGTAAGCGTGTGTGTAGTCGACTATGGGAAAAAACTACGCAGAACAACAGCACTGCAGAGAAAGAAAACATGACACAAACCCTTTACCAACCCGTCAGGCTAGCGTGGTATAGGAAGCCAAAACCTCCTTTCTAAGGAGAGGCCTATGTCCAGCAGTGGACTATTGTAGGCTATTTACTTAATCCCTCTATTTTTTGAACTTATAGATTTTTCTCTACTTTTTAGTTAGACAGTTATTTATTCTTATATTAAGGGCATTGAAATCACTAAAAGATTGTGCAACCGAAATCAACCAAATAACAATACGACCGACTGTAGGCAAAACAGTCTGTATGCAACTATATGCCCTCAATTGGACAGCATATCTTTTGTTAGTAGCTATTGATATCAACTAGTGTAATCAATGGAAGTCAATTTATATCGTTGTCCTAGTGGCCTTTCTGATCACAGGGCATACATATTATGTAGTGGGGCGTCATGCTACAGGCTTAATAAACCGGAGTGATACTTCGAAAACCGATGTTAAGCAAATTTTTCGATACTTCTCACTGAGTGGGTGAGGTTTTTGAAGGACCAACTTCTTTTTTTTTAGATGTTTAGGTTATCGATGATGCGAGGCGCTCTTCGTTGGATGCGGTCCAGAGGGGTAGCTGGTACTGAGGTGCCCCTGCATAGAGATGAGAACAGCATTCCATATGCGGCCATACTTGCGCCTTATACTCGTAGAGCTGCAAGCGGTGGGCCGGAGTAAAATACTGCCTCGATCTGTTCAGCACACCGAGCTACTTTGAGGCCAATTTGATCTTACCCTCTAAGTCACCCCGAAACTAGACTTTGCTCAATATGTTGATGCCTAGGATTCCGATACTGGCTGAGGCAATATAATGCTGTGAATAAACAGACCTGTGTCTTGAACTGGAGTAGTTTTAGTGGGCCCCAATCTGAAACCTCTGAAACCAATTTTTCTTTCCTTATTCTGACAGGACGGCAACGCAATTATGATTCTTGAGTTGTATGGGCGGCGGTAGTCACTTATCATGACATTAGCGCGCTCATTCGATTGACGACCGGATGGCGTAGTGGTTTGTGTAACGGACTGCTATTCCTAAGGTCGCGCGTTCGATTCCCGCTCAAGTCAAACATTTGTGTGCATGAACATTGAATGTTTGATTTGGTCTGGGTGTTTCTATGTATAATATGTATGTATTTACAAAAAAAAAGTATATATGTATTTA